ATTAACAACGCTATAATTTAAGTCTAAAAATAATACTAAAATATAATATAAATAATAAAATAAAAATGATTTAAAAAATAGATCATAATAAAATATAATATAGAACTAATATAATATCAATAAAATAATATAAAATAATGTTTAAAAATATCTATAATATTACAATATGTATTAAATAATATAATCCTATATATTTGATATATTTGATTTTTTTGATATATTTTTTATTTTTTATTTTTTTGATATATTTTATTAGATAAAAAAACAAAATAATTATACTTATTACTATAGTTAGAGTATTTATAAAATCTGATGCATCTTTGTTTTCAGCTGAAGATTATTTATATATAATGCAATGTTATGATATAAAGCCAAGATACAAAATTTTAAAAGAATTATTAGATAAATATAAAACATCATCAAAACAGATTTATCAGATCTGAAAAGGAGAAGAAGCTAATAGGATTACTTAAGATCAACCTATACCTCAATTATATAATATATATAGCCACAAAGTATCAGGCTTTAGCAATAATTCATTTAATATAAATAGCTATAAAGCTAGGCTCTCGACTAAAGTGAATCACTCTGAAGTTTTACCAAATAAATCAGCAGAGATGAGATGACCAAAGATACAAAGCTTTACTTTCTCACATGCAATAAAAAAAAGTATATCTTCTATAGATAATACATCAAGAAGAAAGGATGATCTTAAAAAATTAATAAATAATACTAAAAAATTAGCTTCTATTCTTCCATTTTTGTCTTAGTAAGTTGAGAACATTTTTTTGCAAAAATCTTATCTGCATTTAGAGCCATATTAAGCCAATCTTTAGTTTTTATGAGTTACTTTTCAAGCTCTTTGCACTTTTTTTTAAATCATTCTCACTAGTCAGGCTAGAGGAAATTTGGGCTGAATTATTCAAAGAGGATTTCTAAGAGACTACCTTCTGCTCCTCTTTTAGCAGATCCTTAGCTACTGGAGCTTTGTTATATGTTAGAATAATATAGGTCTTTTCATGTAACTTTATTTGGAATTGATTTTTATTTGGATCAAGAATATCTTGAACTTTTCTAATCTATATCATACTTAAACAAAACATTGATTTGGGCTTACTATTATCAATATGTACAAAATTCCCTAAAACTGTAACTGTTTTTTCTGTTTTATCTTTTATAGAGATTGGAACATCTATAATCCATTCCAATAATTCAGTAATATGTTTTGAATTGTTACTCTTTATAGCAAAATCAGATTGTTTATCATTTTTCCACTCAAGCATTTTGATGATTGTATTATTAATAGTGCTAAATTTGCTACTCAAATTTAAAAACCTATTAGAGATTGTTAAATTATTTATATTGCTATGCAGATATTGTATTGATGAGAACCACTTATTGGATTCTTCCTGAACTTTATAAGACTGATTGGATTTACATATTCTTTGCATTGCTAGTAATAATGAATTCATTAGTTGATCATAAGTTTTTGGTATCATATTTTTTTTAGTAAGTGTGCTTTGTGCATTAATATAAAACTTATTATCTACTAGTAATATCTGTTTTTTTTTCTAATTGAGATAGAGCATGTCATATATTATTTTCCTCATTATATCCACCTTCATCATCCTCAATATCATCTGAATTGGGAGATGCATATTGGGATTGGGAAGGTATTAGAGGAGAAAAGTATCAATGTGTTGAATTTAATTTAGTTACTGGTTTTTTGGATTGATTATCAAGCATTATCCTTCTGAATTGAGATGTCATTTGACTAATTTCATCTACTTTCGATTCTATTCTATTTATCTAGTATTTTAATTTGATGAACATAATTGCTCTGGTTTATTTGATATAGAAGGAGAAAAAGCTTATCTAACTACTGTAGCACTTCTTCTCTAAAAAGATTTAACCATCTAGAATCCCCTTGATCAGCATAAAATTCATGTATTTGTTTATAATCTTTGGATGAAACTGAAGAACAAGATTTTTTGAATTGTTGACTTATTTTTGATTTGAACTTAGCTTTTAATTTTCCATCTTGGCTTTATGTTTAGTATTCTGTTTATCAATTATAGCTTGAAATAATTTTTGCATTTCATCATATGAGGGGAATGCTAGTTGTGAAACTATAGGTTATAGAATATTGCTAGCAGGTTGTGAACTTTGAACATTGTTATTTTGCTTTGTGAATAATTTTTTCTTTAATTATGCTTGATCAGAGTTTTGATTTATATATAAACTAGAATGCTCAAGCTATAGATTTTTTAATAAAATGAAAAATTCATTAATACCTACTATATTTTCATTTCTTATTCAACTATAAAGTTCTTGATTACCTAATAAATGAGTTTTAAAAGTTCCTAATACTCATGTATCATCATTTGCTAAATCTAATAATAGTAGACGAATTCAGGCTTCATAGGTATCGGGATTATCAAAAGGTTGGAATCTTTCTTAAGATAATCTTAAAATAGCTGATTGGCTAGTTTCAACTGTTTCTCATTAATATTTTGCATTTAATTATGCTCTTAAAGTATCTAAACTATCAATATTAACTGCTGAATTTACAAAATTATTTTAAGATGGTACTGATATATATTTTCCTGCCATTTTACTTTTTATAATTTCAACTTTAGCAGCATTATCAAAATCTCTAGCATTTGCATTTTCAAGAGCCATCATATTTGGTATAGCAGATGTCCATGCTTGTATAATCATATCACAATAATCACTAGGTGGCATTTGACCTATATATTGTAGAATTGGGTTTAACAAGGTAGATACATATTTTAATATAAGTAAACATCTTGCTTCTGCCATGTTTATTTAATTTGATGAATTATTATGAAGTGCCAAAATTTGGTGATTTAAATTTAAAATATTCTGGCACTCTGTATGGGTCTTATTTTTCCACTTTTCATATTGTTTATATAATCTATTTCGATTATATTCTAGCAAATCTCTATCCCCCCTGCATTGCTATAGATGGTGAGCCTTTTGCAGATACAGTAGTTGTAAGGCAAATTTTTCCTGTAGTAATATACCAATATGGGTTTACTTTCTTGTTATATTGTCTAACATTCTGTTTACTTGATTTTGAGCATTAGTTCGCAACTGCTAAAGATTAAGCAATGCCTGATCTCACTTCTGCCTATATATATCTTAGTCCCATTGTACATTTACCAGATCTTGTTATAGGTTAGTGTATTTACATCAGATTGATCTTGTTAATCTTTTAATTTGATTTGTTAAAACAGTTCTATATATTTCTGTATCATTTAGGAATTAGTCTATAGCATCAGCCAATTCAGCTATTGTACTTATATTATCAGAATTATATAAGTCTAGAGAATTTTCATCAGAATCAGATTTATTATTGTCAAAATTCCATGCCTGTGCATTTTGTAAAGTCTCTTGTGTATTTCTAAGCTTTAATCTATTTCGATATCTTAATAATGCTAATGCAAAATTTTGACAAAGCAAGTCAGTAATATGTTTTTTTTGCTGATTTATTTTATTAATCCTATTTATTTAATTAACTCTTATTGTATTTATTTCTTGTTTAAGGTGTTCATTTTCATCTACTAATCTGGTTATATAATCTTGTGCTTTAGATGTATTTCCAGCCAATTTTAATATCTCTTGTATTTTGATTTTTAATTTTGTTTTGTGTTCATCAAATTCTGATATTAACTTATTCTTATTTAAGATTTCCTTGTCTTTCTTTTTATTTTCTTCTTCAAGCTAATAAATGATTCTTTTTAGTTTTGAAATTTCTTCTAACAATTCTTTTTTGTCTTGTGTAGATAGTTTGATAGTATTATTTAACTTTTCTTCAAAAAACCATATTCTTTCCTCTTGTATGCCAATAATTCTTTCTAAGGTATATAGATGCTGTTCAAAATTTCTATTTGATTTTGCTAATTGTGATACTACCTCATAGAGTTCTTGGTTAAATTGTTATAACTCCTTCATGTTTTTTATTACTATAATAAAACAAAGAAATAGAGAAACCTGTAATTTATATTGACCCACAAAGGGCCCATGATTTGGATAAGGAAATTATTTTGCAAAAAATTTATTATAGGCCTGAAGGTTATTATCAGATAGCTGAAAAAATATAAAATGTAAATAGAAGAGGTAAATATAATTTTTTATTAGCTGAGATATGTAATTGGTTAAATAAGCAAGCCATTTTTCAAGTTCACAAGCCACCTCCAAGATATATTTCTAGAGTTTCATTTAATACAATTCAAATTTCTAATAAATATCATTAAGCTGATATTCTCTATATGCCTTATAATAAAATTGGAAAAATAACCTATATGTTTTGTCTTAATATAGTAGATATTGCTTCTAGATATAAAGCATCAGTTCCAATTGGAGGTATTATTTCTAATATTAATATAAGCTGGTTAAAAGCTAAAGATGTTAATTTAAAAATATTTTAACTTCTAATGCTATTGCTAAGGCATTTAAAAAAATCTATAATGATCTGACATGTTCACTTACTTATCCTAAATTATTGTTAACAGATAAGAGTTCTGAATTCAGAAAAGATTATAAAAGATTAATGATAAAACATTGTATAAAAATTCAAAAAGCTAATTCTAAATATACTATAGGTATTGTTGAAAGATATAACTGAATCTTAGCAAAAAGACTATTTCGAATACAAGATGCATCAGATTTGCTATTGCTAATATCTGAAAGATCTAGGGCTTGGGTAAAAAATCTTCCAATTATTGTTAAAGAACTTAATAATTCTGTAACTTAACTTCTTAAAATGACTCCTGTAGAAGCTATATGAAAAAAATAGATTAATGCTCTGTTTTCTTTATCTCGCAATGGTCCTGTTGAATTTGATGAACCTCAATTATCTTATAATATTTCAGTAAGATACTTACTTGAACCAGGTGAGTTAGAAGGTAGAAGACATTATGTGACTGATTGTAATTGGTCTCCTCAGGTTTATCATATCTGCAAATCTTTAGTACAAAAAAATTAACCTATTTTATACTGGTTAGAAGATGATAAGAACAATAGTTCTAAAAGATCTTTTGTTAGAAAAAAGCTCCAAATTATAAAGAATGTGCAATTACCTTCTCAGTGGGTGCTTACAAGTTAGACCCAAAAGAAAATCAAAGATTCACAATAAGAGATGTTTGTGAAATAGTTCAAGTTGGTGTTTCTGGTCTTTTATTACAAAGCAATGGTTCTTTAAACCTATAAATTAAGAAATTCTTCTGCTTCTTTATCAATTTGAACTTTTTTGACAAGATGATCTTTTAGCTAAATTGTAATATAATTTATATAGTTTCATAATAGAAGTAAATATCTTTGGGTCTCAACCATAAAATTCTTTATAGTTATTTTTGATTTTATGATATTTTTCTTTATTAAGGAATATTTTCATAGCTAACTTTAATATATATTCTTCTGGGTCTTTTGCTTGGCATCATTTTATAATTCACTCTTTATAACTTTGCATGAACTTACCTTCTTTTGGCTTTTTATAATAGATACCTGCTTTAATAACATTAATTAAAGCTTGCTCAACTTCTTGATAGGTGGGTTTGGTTTGAATATCTTTTGTATCTTGAGTTTGATTACTCATTATATATGCATGCTAGTATTCTGTTGTTTGTATTAATATATCAGATCTTTTGTTTAAATTAAAATTATTTATATTTATATACCATGATAGGTGAATATACTTGTGATTATTTACTCAGAACTGAAGTTATTTGTAGATGTACTTGTTATAGACCTGAAGAATGCCATAAATATTGAAAGGCTAAAAAGTGTTTTTCTTGTAGCCAACTAACTAGTGCTGAGTCTAGAATATGTAAAAAACATGCTAAAGAGTATTATATTATAAAATGTTTAGATAAGAAGAAAGGCTTATAATGATATTAGATGTGTTAATATTGAATAATGTAGAATTTATTTTTTAGTTATTATCCAATTTAGCTATATAAATAAAAAATAGAGGATTCTAGCTATATAAAAATTTATACTATATTTTTATATAGATAAGAAAAAATAATATAGAATAAAGGTTTGCAAGAGCATGAAAACAACAAGATGACCACTTTGATATCCGAGATGTAAAAAAAATATTCCAGAACTCCTATTTTCACTCTACTAAAATTTTATAAACTTTCAAAATATTCTACTTAAAATAAATTATACTTCAACAAGACTCAAAATACCTTTTTTTCAAAATGTCAAAACTTTCTTCTATCTACAACATCAATAGCTCCTAAATTTCCCTCTATTATTACACATATAAACAACAACATTTTATCTTCTAAAAATTCAAACATTACAAAATTAATCAAAATACATTCACTAAATATTAACAGTTTTCTTGATAACTTTAAACAACTAAGCCTAATCAATTTTATTTCAGAAAATCAAATTGATATTTTCAGAATTTCAGAAACACATCTATCTAACAAAGAAGCAATGTTCTCAATACTCTCTAAAAACTTATAAACTATAAATGCTTTTGGACACCAAGTAATGCTTGCCAGAGTAGTGTAGAAATATTAATTCACAAATTACTAGTGAAGCATATTGAAAAAATACAAACATACAAAAACTCTTCTAGAAATTGATATATTTCTCAAAAACCTTTATATCAAACTAATCCAACTTTATTTTTCAACTCAAGAAAAAAAACAACTTTGAAAATACATTCTTCAATATCTTACTCCTATCTTTAATAAAACTAACTACAAAATAATTCTAATGGAAGATCTAAATAGAGTTCCAAATTTTAAACTAAATAGACTACTACAAAAAAGCTCAACTACACCTGAACATTCTCTTTTAAGAATACTCAAATTCCTCCAATTTTATAACACCTACAGGCTCTTTTTCTCATTAACATCTACATTCTCCTATATATACAATAACAGTCATAGTAGTGTTATAGAACGATTTATTATTATTTTATTATTAGTTATTATTATTATTATTATATTATTATTATTATATTAT